CACGGTCGGCGTTTCGCCGGCCGTCCGACTATTTCTTCCGGCAATCCACATATGACTGATCATGATTTGACTTAAATAACACAAATATGCATAAAGTGTTCGGGACTTGCCGGTTAGAAATAGAAGTTACTCGGGAGGGCTTATATAGCACCTCCGAAGCCATTTTGCTAAATGAACTTGGACCGAACGACATGACATCGACATGATCTTACTACTATAAACTTAACTATACAAAAAGAAGGTAAATAGGGGTATACCCTTCAGTTCGGTCGAAGATTGCACGATAATATGCGTGTGTGTTCGGTGCTCCGCCAATGTCCTTATGCTTCCCCTTTGCTTCGGCAATACTTAGATATTTTAGTGTGATTTTTCTACTATTATTTCCTCACTATTTTCTATCTTGAATATGTGCTGAAGTTGGCTGAATTTACGTAAAAATGCATGAGGAAAAACATTCCACATGCTCGGTTATTTAAAGGAGTAAAACCGAGGGTAAGTTTGGAGTCAAAGGGGTGAAAGATGACATTACTCCCTTTGATCCCAAGTGTCCTAAAACGTGGCTGATGTGGGGCGTCCTTTGGCTTAGTCACGGCCGAGGTGTCAAGCATGCACGGGCTTAGTCATCGCCCGTGCGTGCGTGTCGTGCCATATGTTAAGCTACTAGGTGAATCATCACCACAACTTGCAACTCAACCTCATCCTTTTACCTTTCCTCACGGCTCAAGCAAAGACTTGGGATTTGGGGTGGCTTAACTTTGATCATGGGGCTTAAAGGGACATAAGAGTGCTTAGCGGATACTTAACGCGCGCGCTAATGCGCGAGGCGCGGTGATGCGCGCGATGCGCGTCCGCGTGCATGGCTATGCGCACGGCATGCGTGCATGAGTGCGTGTACTTGTGTATACTTCGCATACCTTGCGTTCTTCCGTAACTTAACTTAGTTTCAACCTCGAACTTAATTCCGAACATGCTAAACTATTAATAATTAATCCCGATTAATAACATCCGTTTATAAAATAAACGGTTCGGAAATTAATTATCAAATTTGACTCGGTTAATAATTAACCGGATAAACTTTTTGACTTAACGCCGAACGTACTTGCTGAAAATGAACGGAATCGATAAAAAAAATGATACATCATTTCTGTTAACAAAAAGTTGGGTTATTACATCATTGTATGTTGTTATTGACTACTGACACTTTAGAACATAATGTGAAAAGAAGATTTTATTTTGATAGTAGATGGACAGAGATGGATGGGTTTATAGAGTGTGTAGAAAAAGCGTGGGCTGGGAAGTAAATGGGAGGGGGTTGTATAGTTTCCAAAAGAAACTCAAAAATGTGAGGCTTGGCTTGCTTGGGTAGGCTTCTCAGAAAACAACAAACTCAGCCTTAATTATAAAGGAGTGCAATGCTAAGTTAGAAAGGATGGGGATGCAGGGGATGAGAGAGACTGGGGGAGTGGAGAGAATGTAAGGAAAAACTGCATAAAGCCTATTTAGATGAAGAAGTGTACTGGAGACAAAAGTTATGGGTTAAGTGGCTGAGGGAAGGGGACAGGAATACTAGATACTTCCAGGCATGTGTGAGACAAAGAAGGTGTAGGAATAGTATAGAACAATTAGTTAAAACAGCTGGGGAGAAATGTAAAAATGTGGCTAAATCAGTGCAGGAAATTGAGCAATTTTTTGAGAGTTTATTTGCCTCTAAAAACCCGAATTCAATGCAGACATCCTAAGGCTATACCAAGATCCATTACTACATAGATAAAACAGAAATTAACAAGGGAAGTGGATGAAGGTGAAATCAAGGTTGCATTGTGGGAGATGGAGCCAGGAAAGGCACCAGGTATGGATGGTTTCTCCCCATCTTTCTTTCAAAATTCTTAGCATATCATAAAAAATGACCTTTGTGCAGCTATATCTATTTTTTTCCAATCTTGTTGTATCCCAAAAGCCACCAGTCACACATTAATTACCCTCATCCCTAAAATTAAACACCCCAGAAAGTTTCAGACTTTAGACGTATTAGTCTTTGTACCATCACTTATAGGCTGATTGCTAAAATATTAGCTAATGCCTAATAGAATAAAAGACTTTCTTCATGTCTGTATATCTCAAAACCAAGCATCTTTTGTCCCTGGAAGACAAACTTTGGACAATGTTATAATAGCAAATGAATGTCTTCACTTTTTGAACAAGCAATTTAAAT